GCGCCCAGACTGCGCCTGCAGGTCAGGGGGGGACACTGCGGGGACACCGCGGGGACACTGCCAGGACACTGCGGGGACACCTGGGGACACTGCGGGGACACCGCGGGGACCCCTGGGGACACTGCGGGGACACCGCGGGGACACTGCCGGGACACTGCCAGGACACTGCGGGGACACTGCCAGGACACCTGGGGACACACGGGGGGACACTGCGGGGACACTGCCGGGAGACCGCGGGGATGGGGACACACGGGGGACACTGCCAGGATACCGCGGGGACACCCGGGGGACACCCAGGGGACACTGTAGGGATGGGGACACCCGGGGGACACCCAGGGGACACCCGGGGGACACCATGGGAATGGGGGTACCAGAGGGATGGGGACACCAACGGGTTGGGGACGCTGCAGGGAAGGGCACGGGGACATCAAAGGGACACCTGAGAGTGACGTGCAGAGAGGATGGGGACACCGCGGGGACACCGCGGGGACACCGCGGGGACAGCAGAGGGATGGGGACACAAATTTTGGGGACGGGACACCATGGGAATGGGAACACCACGGGGAGGGGACGCCTGGGGACACGGGGACCTCAGGGATGGGGACACGGGGACCTCGGGAATGGGGACACGGGGACCGTGGGGATGGGGACACGGGGACCTCAGGGATGGGGACACGGGGACCTCGGGATGGGGACACGGGGACCACGGGGTTGGGGACACGGGGACCGTGGGGATGGGACACTGCGGGATGGGGACACGGGGACCTCAGGGATGGGGACACGGGGACCTCAGGGATGGGGACATTGCGGGATGGGGACACGGGGACCTCAGGGATGGGGACACGGGGACCTCAGGGATGGGGACATTGCGGGATGGGGACACGGGGACCTCAGGGTTGGGACACTGCGGGATGGGGACACGGGGACGCCACAGCACGGGGCGATGGAGCGCGGGCCCGGGGCTCTGCTGTCCCCGCGGGTGACACGGGGGTGGCCCGCAGGACGTGGACATCCGGGAGCTGCCCCGCGCCGGGGACAGCGGGGCCGCCTTCACCTTCTTCCGCTCCTACCGGGACGGGCTGTGGCGCTTCGAGTCGGCCGCGCACCCCGGCTGGTTCCTGTGCACGTCCCCGCTCGGCCACCGGCCCCTGGCGCTCTGTCGCCACCCCGATGTCACCTCCCAGCTGCTCGACTTCTACTTCCAGCTCTGCTGAGCCCCCCCGGGCACCGCGCGGGGACAGCAGAGCCCCGGGCGAGGTGGCATCTTCCGTGGGAGGGTGACATCCCTCTGGGGAGGGTGACATCCCTCTGGGGACGGTGACATCCCGCTGGGGAGGGTGACATCTTCCGTGGGTGGGTGACATCCCTCTGGGGACGGTGACATCCCCCCCGGGACGGTGACATCCCCCTGGGGACGGTGACATCCCCCCCGGGACGGTGACATCCCCCTGGGGACGGTGACATCCCCCCCGGGACGGTGACATCCCCCTGGGGACGGTGACATCCCTCTGGGGACGGTGACATCTCCCTGGGGACGGTGACATCCCTCTGGGGACGGTGACATCTCCCTGGGGAGGGTGACATCCCCCTGGGGAGGGTGACATCCCCCTCGGGACGGTGACATCCCTCTGGGGAGGGTGACATCCAACCAGGGACGGCGACATCCTCACCCAGGGAGAGTGACAACCTCGCTCCTCGGTGGCATTTTCCCCAGGACAGCGACATCCCCCTGGGGACAGCGACATCCCGCCGGGACCGTGCCATCCCCCCTTCTCCGGGGCGGTGCCATCCTGGGGACAGCGACACCCCCCAAGGGAGGGTGACATCCCGCCGGGGACAGCGATATCCCCCTGGGGACAATGCCATCCCCCCGGGGACAGTGCCATTCCCCTGGGGACAGCGACACTCCCCTGGGGACAGTGCCATCCCCCCGGGGACAGCGATATCCCCCTGGGGACAGTGCCATTCCCCTGGGGACAGCGATATCCCCCTGGGGACAGTGCCATCCCCCTGGGGACAGCGACATCCCCCTGGGGACAATGCCATCCCCCTGGGGACAGCGATATCCCCCTGGGGACAGCGACACTCCTCTGGGGACAGCGATATTCCCCTGGGGACAGCGACACTCCCCCTGGGG